GCCTTGGCCTAGTGTCATGGTTCTAAGCCTGTCTTCTCTGAATGAATGTCGACTTCAGTCCTTGGCACACAGCAATAAGCCTTCGTTATGGAATAGAAACTAGACCAGAGACTGTAGAAATCGCAACAAGCCTGAAAAACCTAATTGAAAGTAGTTGGCAGCCACCGGCCCACAAGGTCTAGAGCAACCAATTGGTAACAAAGTCCAGAAGGAAGACCTATGCCCACAACATACAGCCTGGCCCCTGGGACCAGAAATTCTTGGGGTGACATTGGCCCAAAGAACCAAGAAGTCATCTCCTAGGATTCGGAAAACCAGAGGACTTGGTTCACGGCACCAAGACTGTTCTTCCTTTAAATCATTTATGATACAAATTTGAGTTGATGGAACCAAACTTGTGTCATCCTAAGAGTCTACTCAGCACAATCTGGTCCCACGTCACCAATTTTACATTTTGTCATTTATTTAAAAGTGACCGTAACCTACAACAGCAAGCCTTTCCCCTGGTAAGAGAAGGTCATGTGGACACTTAGAAACTTGGCACAATGCCTGGACTCTGCTTTCAGGAGCTCAAATGGGGAGATTGGAATCATGGACAAGCAGTGTTCCTATTTCCAGGAAGTAGACTAGAGAACTTGGCTCAGAGTATCTAGCCTAAATTTTCACAACGAAATCTTTGGTGGAGGACTTAGCACAGGTAACAAAACCAACTTGGTTAAAAAAAAAAAAAAAAAGTCAATAGAAGTCCATGGCCCATGACCCTGTCCTCTGCCTGGATCAGGGGAAGTAGAGCGAATGTTTAAAAACAGGACACCATTCCAGTCTCATTTTCAAGATAAACGAGTAGATAACATTTCACACACACTGAAGCCCAATTCCTTCTAAGAAGTAGATTGAAACCTACACTCTCAGGAAGAAGACTAGTCACCTGAGTCACAAATGATTCACGTGTGATCTTCCATGACCCCCATGTGTATCCCGCGATGTGTTAACATGTCCACCTTATGATTCCCTAGTGATTGCGATATGATTTTCAGGTGACCTTATACTTCTTCACCTTTCCTCAACAAAGTGTTTTTCAAACATGTCTCATGGTCTGCACATTTTCAATATTTCAGCATTGATGCATTGGCCATTAAGCTATTCCCTCTTGACAGTAGAGGCCAAAGGTTCACATCCAAGAATAGTGTGGGAATCCCACCTGAAGCCTTTAGAGTTATCCTCACAATGACTCTGCATTTTTGCTACAATAGAGCAAAATGGCAGCTGCTATTCCTCCATGTCAAAATAGCTTCCTCAAGCCAACTCAACCTCCAAATTTCAAAGCAGTTAATGTGCGACAGCCGCTACCCTTCCCTTCAAGCAGGTTGTCTGACGAAGCCGTAACCACAGGCCAGTTATCTAAGTATCATTGTTTAGTAGCCTACACCACTGTCCTCAAGCCAGTCTTCTCATGCTCATCTGAAATTTCAATTAAAGGGCAGGAGGTGGTTGTCTCAGCTACGCTCTGGTACACAAGGACTCCCCTTTTCTCAGTGTTTATGTGAATTAACCCAAGGGATGTAAAAAGGTAACTCAAAAGTGAGTGTCACACCATCACCAAATGGCAAGTGATCAACCTGTGATGCCCTAAGGCCAGTTCCTTGATAGTCACGTTATTCCTGTCGGACAAGATGTGAATATTGCGAGATTTCCACGTTCTTGCTACGAGATTCTCAGGTGACATCCACCTCATTTTCCACTGCTGCTACAACAAGGAATTCTAAAACATGTTGATAGGAACTGGCTCAATGTCAAATTCTCAGCTTTCTTTCTGTGGTCATTAAGCCAATCCCTCTCAGATTTTGTAGTCTATGGTTTGCTAAAGAGAAACTCTGAAGCAACCGTTCATTCCGCCATGGAGAAGTATCCTCACAATAACTCAGACTTTTACCTACAATACAGCAAAATGGCAGCTGCTGTTTCCAACACTTTAAAGTACCTTCCTCAAGTAAACTCGGCTTCCATATTTAAATGCGTTAATGTGCTAGAGTAGTTACTTGCTTACAAGTAAATTCCCTGACCACAGCCAATGTGTCTGGCCAGTTACCTAAGGATCATTGTCAGGTAGCCTACTACACTGTCCTCAAGTCAGTCTATTCATGCAGACTTGACCTTTATTGGAGGGCAGTGAGAGATGTCCGTCTCCACCACGCTCGGTAGACACGGACTTTCAGTTTATCTGTGTTTATGTGCATTTTACCAAGAAATGTAGAAGGGTAACTCTGAAGTGAGCACCACACCATCACCCAATGTCACATGATCAACCTGTGATTCCCAGTCTCTTGATGGTCACGTGATTCCCGCAGGGGAAGCCACGTGAATATGGCGAGATTCCTGTGTTCTTGCTACAAGATTTTCAGGAGACATTCATCTCATTTTCCTCTGGTGGCCTAAACTAAGGGTTTCCAGAACACATTGAAAGAAGTAGCTCAATGTCAAATTCTTAGCTTTTTTCCATGGTCATTAAGCCAGTCCCTCTCAACATTTGTACTCTGCGGTTTGCTAGAGAGGAATTTTGGGTCAGCCGTTCTTTGCGCCAAGAAGAGGTATCCACACAAAGACATAGCAGTTTCCCTGTAATCCATCAAATGGAGGTGGTGGTTTCCACTGCTATCCAGTCACTTCCTCACAGCACACTCAGCCTCCAGGTTTCATTGTGTTCCATATGCGACCGCTGCCTCCATTGCCATAAAGCAGGTTTCCTGACAATACACAAAACCTGAGGCTAATTAAGGATCATTGACTGGCTGCATATACCGTTGACTTCAAGTACGTTTTGCGATGTGGATATGACATTCGATTGGAAGTCGGGTAGGAGTCTGTCTTGATTATCATCTTTTACACCCTGACTAATGTTTTCTCAGTGTTTATGTGAATTTTATCAAGTGATAAGCACTCATCATTCCAAAGGGAGCACGATGTCATAATCCCTGTGTGACATGATCTCCCTTTGTTTCATAGAGACAGGTCTCTGATGGGATTTCCCACGGGCAGGTCACGTGATCCTGTTGTGACTAATATGAGCTGATGTTCCCAAAGTTAACACTGTCTAATTTTGAACAGATTATGTAAAATACCTACTCACACTACCACCATCCTAGACCTTGTAACAGAAACAAATGTGAAGTCCATGGCCCACAGATCAAAGCTGTCTACTCTTACAGAAAACAAAGGAGACGTCCATTAATGGTAACTTCACCATCCTCCCTTAGAATGATGTAGACTTGAGAATCGCGACCATGACACAAAGCTAGTCTCTTCCTAACAATAATACAATGGAGCATTGGACTAAAGCCACCAAGCCTGTCTTCACTGAAAATTAGTAGTTTGGAGACATTTAATCTCAAGGCTAGTCTTTTCTTTGGTAAGAATATCTTTCTTGGAGACCTAGAATTTTGGATCCATGGTGGAATTTCTCTTTGGAGCTACAGTGTTAAATGTGGCTTGCAGTTCCAATCCCTTCATCTTTACCAGAAGATAGAGCTGAGATCTAGTCTGATAGCATTTCTTCTGTTTTTCCTAACAGTTTTTGAAGTGGTGGCCTGGGCCCATGGTTCTAAGCCTCTCCTCCCTGAACAAATGTCGAATGCTGTCCTAGGCCCACAGCAACAATCTTGTCTTTATGCAAGGAAAAGTAGAATGAAGACATAGGCCTGTGACACCAAGCCTGGAGTTTCCTAACAGGAATTAGTGTGCAGACCCAGGATCACAAGGTCAATTCCACCTAATTAATAACAAACTAGACAAAGCAATTTCTCACACTATACCCAAGTTAGCACCTGTGAACAGAAACATGAAGTTTATGGCCCACAAACAAAACTGTCTTCTCTGAAGAAAAGGAAGAATGGAGGTCTCTGTTCATATCAGCAACATGGTCTTCCCTTAAAAGGATGTCGACTTGTGAAATGGGCCCAAGACACAAAGCCCCTCTTTTCTTAATGATAAGTTCCAGGGAGACTGGTACCCATTGCAATAAATTTGCAGCTCTCTGAAAACTAGTATAGAGTAGACCTTACCCCACAGGGAAAGCCTGTCCTCAGGTAAAAGAATCTTAATTCGAGACCTAGGACCTTGCCCCCTGCCTGGATTTCTAATCAGGAACCAGAGGGCTAACCTTGGTTTGCAGTTTTAATTCCTTCCCCTATTTACGGAAAATAGAGCTGAGAAATTGTATCACAGCATTTCT